AAATGGAGTCTCATGACTACGCCCTCAAAATTTCAGAACCAAGTTGTAAGTAGCTTTTGGGAGAATTGTTAACCTCAAAAGGTTGCTAAGAAACCAGTTGTAAGTCAAGGACTACCACAGCTCAGATCAAGTGGCAAATTCCCCCCCCCCCTTTTTATTGAATTATTATAAATCTTGATATGTAGGTAAACCTTCACTTCCAACTATTCATTTAACAATGGTTGAACATTACGACAAGCTCTGAAAAAGTGATTTACGTCCTCTTCTCACACTTCTAACTATTGCCATTACCACCATAGTCATATGATCGCAATTCAGGTACTTGGCAATCGGCTCACATTTACAACTGATTGCAGCATTCTGCAATCTTGCATCATGCTGTGGTCACAATTCACCACCTTTCCAGCCAGTTTCTGGCAAGTAACATCAGCTGGGAAAACTGGATTTGCTTAATGACCATGTGTTTTGCTTAATGACGTTGCTGATTCACTAAACAACTGTAGTAAAAATGATTATCAAATCAGATCGGATCACATAATGGCTCGCTTTACAAGTACACTAACATAATGAAAATTCCAATCTCAATTGTGGTCATAAATCAAGGATTACCTGCATTATATTATTTCAATGAAATGATATTAGATAATATAATGAAATTCTTGATATTCTGTTATATAGATATCACATAACATTGGAAGTAAACAGAAAAGAAAACGTATGTATTTTTTCAATGTTGATTATAATTTAGGAAATTAATATTACAAGTATAATTTTTTTTCAAAGTTAAATGTAGCATTGGAAAAGATGGAAAAAACACTGAAACATATAGTACATTCTAAAAGTATTCAGATCCCCTTCACTTTTGTCAATTTGTTATGCTGCAGCCTGATTCTACAGTTGTTGAAATTCATTTTTCTCCTCATTAATCTACACTCAGTACCCCACAATGACAAAGTGAAAACAGGATTTTAGAAATGACTGTAAATTTATTTTTAAAAAAAACCCTGAAATATCACATTAATTTGCAATGTTTGTAAAAATTACAGCCTCCTTAGAAACCAAACTATAGGTGATTATATTTGCAATGATATGTGTATATAGGGGTACTATTCTTGCTTACATTTAAACTTGTATTATGTACATGTATTGTTAGTTTTGCCCTTGTTGCATATTCAAGTTTTATCATGTACTGGCAGAATTGTATCCTTCTTTGAACATTGAACAAAATTAATTCTTGCTGCTGTAAGCAAGTAAGTGATTAAACCATGTTTTGTTGGATTTTTTTCCTAACATAGTAACTAAAAGTGGATTCATTTCAAATTTAGCAGACCCTTCCTATAAACAATACCCCCTCCCACCATATCTGCACATTAGCAAACAGTAAAAACTTACTTGGTTGGTTATGTCATATACCACAATGGCAGCCTGAGCCCCTCGGTAATACATTGGAGCCAAACTGTGGTATCTTTCCTGACCAGCTGTATCCCAGATTTCAAACTTTACCGTTGTATCATCTAGACAGACAGACTGTGTGAGGAAAGCCGCTGTAAAACAACAGAAAGTCAGTTACTGAGATGAGAACATAACACGTACAATCCTTTATATTTAAATACAAGGTTACTAAGCTGTTTGGTCATCAAATTGTTGGAGGTCATTTTTGAATGCCTATCTAATTATGTAAGGGGTAACTGGTACAGGGCTACACACAAACAAAACTGAAAGGTGTGTTGGACTTTTATTCTGCAAGCAAAGTTTGCAAGAGCCAGCTAGACAGGTAGAAATCATATGACACAGCTTTGTAGGATTAAATTATTTGGAAGTAAGATAAAGAAACGCATGCCTGAAAATTCTCAGAATAACAATATGAAGAAAAACAAACTTTCTTCTTACATGTCTCTAATTGGTAGTGAATTTTAGATCTTTTCCTATCCTAATTATCAACAAAAACATCTTCATATTTAAATGGTATTTTTAAAGGAAACCTTAGGTTTTAATTTGCAAAAATGTAATGTTCATACATAAATAATGCTTATGAAGGCTTTTGATAACTCAGTGATCGTAAGGATATACCTATAAAAAAGTTTTTAATTGCTTTGATAAGCACCCTTATCAAAGCAATTATGGGAAAGTTACTGAGTTATTTTTACAAGTTCATTATTTTAAAATATAATTTTAAAAAGCAGTGAATAGCTTATCACTCCATATATAGCTTTTTATAGACAAAATTAAACTTTAGCACACATTTTAAAATGGGTGTTATTAAACTGGATTCAATGAAATAATGGCTTATTGTTATTTGTTTATTTACAGTGCATTCAGAAAGTATTCAGACCCCTTCACTTATGTTAATTTTGTATTGCTGCAACCTGATCCTACTGTTGTTGAAATTCATTTTTTCTCATCTATTCAGTACCAGATAATGACAAAGTAAAAACAGAATTTTAGAAATGTCTGTAAATTTATTAAAATGAAAAAAATGAAATAATCACTGTATTAGATTCTATCTCATCAATATCCCACTGGAATTCTTGAAGATGAGGAACAGAGTACTTTGGGATGAATTAAGAAGCATACAAATAAATCTTGGTGTCCTAATATAGCAAGGCTAGCATTTAGGAAGTATTTAAAGCAGGGGCGAGCAATTAATTTTCCAAGGGGCCACATGGGAAACTGAAAAACTGTTCTGGAGGGTGTTGCCACTCGTCGTCCCCCCATTGCCACACTGATGCCCCATCCCCCCGCTGCCACAGACTCAACTTTAATCCTCATGGACCAGGTGTGGCCCACGTCATAAAATGCCCGGGTGTGATCTAACATTTAAGTTATAGATGTTACTTCAGGAAAGAAGAAAGATTGCATGCAGAAGCCTCCTTACCTCCAATGGTGCTCTCCTGGTATTCGTGGAACTGTCCCTTGACAAAACGCAGCACCAGGCTGGACTTGCCTACTGCTGATTCACCCAACAGTACTAGCTTGAACTGGCAGATCTTGCTGGCCTGCGATTGCCCATTCGGCCTGGCAGCTCCTCTGCTGGTCATGGCCTAGACTCCAAGAGCAACGGGTGCTCCAGCCAATGCAAAGAACTACCACTACTGACCAGAGTTTGACACGTAGGAATTTTTTGCCCCACCTGCTTCAAACAGGATGACAATTTCTTCCAGTACCAAGTAGCTGACTTCTGAAATAAGAAATAGCTTAGTTAATGTTTTAATCTGTGAAGTGGACCAGAAAGGTTTGGATTTGGCTCTAGTGCAAATATATTAAGGGAATTACTTGGGAGAACTGAGTAACAAAATTAACTCAAGTCACATTGGGATAACGAGGTTAGTTTTTCCATGTAAGAAATGAAAAAGGCAACTGTAAGCCACCTAAAGTCACTGTGACCAAATGGGCACTCTGTAAATTTTCCAAAATAAATAAATAAAATAAAAGGATTTGCAAGCACAGACATAATATTCTTTTCCCCTTGCTTTATGTGTAACAGGGTTTAGCCCATAAGTGGACCAGACCACCCAAGTCAATTAAAATAAACGCAACAAAAAAGTAGATTAGATTCTTGCTTTCCCTTGTATTTTACCTAAGCACTGCACAAAGGAATCAAAACTCTGAAGTCCCGGTGCCCAATCTTTAAGAAACAAATTATTTTTCAAACGGATCCCAGTAGAAACCAAACCTTTAAAAATATCAGCCTTCCGGAGTAAAAACTAGAAAGAAAAGCACCACCATGTGTGTGTTGAATCTCTGTGATCAATGAGTCAGCAACTCATGCAGATCTTTTTCTTGCCTGCATTCCTTAAGGTGTAGCAAGCAGCTCTTGGCATGGAATGTCTGTCACATCATGTGATGACCAGAGAAAGACCCAAAGGGCTGCTACATCATTGAACTCGGGCAAATATTACTTTAGAATTGCACTTAACACCTCAGTGTCATTAGAAATCTGCCCAAGATTTATAGGCAAACTGTCCCTGCAAACTTCCTTAATGTAGAAAGATCAGTTTTCATCATTTTTTTCTCAGGCGAATTTTTCTTCATACCCAACCTGATTTAAAGATTAATATTTGCATTGGAATAAAATTAATGACATATACAGAAGCTGAGTTTTGCAAATTCCTAGATAACCCATTATTACAGCATTTTTGAGAATTATTTGAGAATAAAATAGATCACAACTGTAAAGTTCTCAAAATCCATCCAGAAGCTCCATGTTGTTCCCCACTGCATCCGTCTGACACCACTAAGACATACATTTTTCGCAGAACTGTTATCTTTGGCATAAATAACACATATTAAACTAACTGAACCTGCTACCTGCTCAATTCTTTCTATTTTAAATTCTATTATTGTTCTGGATTCACAAACAAGAAAAAGAAACCAAATCGTAATGAACTCTTAGGGAAAAAAACCAGGAATGAACTTCTGACCCGCAGGAAGTGAGCTAGCATCTTAATATGTCTACATTGAAGGGAACTCTATTGTATGATTTACATATGATGCAAGATATAGCTAGAACAGAACTTCTCTGCGTTCTGCTCTTTAGGTCCACTTGAGGAAAAAACTAAAAATTACAAAGGCCAGGTAATTCTTAATATGACAAGTTTAGGAAACTTATCACTGAGAGAAATAATTTTGTGAAAGAAACGTTTAGTAAGAAGAAAACTAATCAATTACTTTTATGCTTTCTTTAACTTTTTTGATCTCTTGCAATCTTTTTTCAATCAAGTTTCAAGCTATTTGTCTGTAATTCTTTTTCTATTGTCAAAATGGAAGCAAGGAGATAGAAAAAAAGTATGCTTCTGGCTTTGCAAAACAATGCTGGATCCAGATCCATTTTGAGAAATGCTGGCACAGGATGCTGTACAAACTCACCCACTGTAACTCAGCATACTATTCAGACCACACCATTAAGGCCTGTTGAACAATGGCTTAAAGTTCCTGTGTATACAAGTATACAGCTAGTCCCTGACCTATAACCACAATGGAGCCCAGAATTCCAGTTGCTAAGTGAGATATTTGTTAAGTGAGTTTTGCCCCATTTTACGAACTTTCTTGCCACAGTTGTTAAGTAAACCACTGCAGTTGTTAAATTAGTAACCACGTTGTTAAGTGAATCTGGCCTCCCCATTGATTTTGCTTGTCAGAAGGTTGCAAAATATGATCACATTACCTTGGGACACAGCAATAGTCCTAAGTAGGAATCAGATGTCAAGCATCTGAATTTTGAACATGTGATCATGGGGATGCTACAAAGGTCATAAGTGCGAAAATGGTCATAATTTTTTTCAATGCTGTTGTAACTCCCAAATAGTTGCCAAATAAACTGATGTAAGTCTTCGATATATATGCCTGTATATATTAAAATTATATATTGATAATAGGTAATTTTATTTATGTATTGCTTTATTTATTATATATTTACTTACTTCTGATTATGTGCTCAATCAAGTTATTAATTCTAAGCAATGGCATAGTTATGCTAAGTTCACATATTGTATTAGATCATAAACAATGGTTTATGAAGCACAATGGCTGAATTCCCATTAGGTTTACAACATATTAAGTTTTAGCACCATGCTAATTACAGTATAAATTGTGTTTAGATCTTCTGAGCATTGTTCATTTTACTTTGTATATGTGAATGGGAGCAAAGAAGTCATAACTTGTTCTATGGCAATGATCTCATTCTTGAAACCACACTTTAATGTTCAGTTATGGATTGTAGTTGAGATATGAAATAAAATAGAAATGGGCTTCAAGGCTTATGGTTGAGATATGTTCTCCACCAAAGCAACCCACAGAAATAAATACAAGACAAGATAAAGCTAAAGAAAGAAGGAAAATAACTTAGGAACTGGCTGAACAAGTTTATTATTTTGCTTATCTGCAGGACTGATCCTGGCTCAACAAATCATAGTTCAGCACAATGCATGAATGCAGCCAATAAGTAACTTTCATATATCATCTAGATCAGGGATGTCAAACTGGCAGCCCGCGGGGTGGATGCATCATGTGCAGGCCATGCCCCTCTCCCAGCTCCACAATAGCAATAGCAATAGCAGTTAAGACTTATATACCGCTTCATAGGGCTTTCAGTCCTCTCTAAGTGGTTTACAGAGTCAGCATCTCGCCCCCACAGTCTGGGTCCTCATTTCACCCACCTTGGAAGGATGGAAGGCTGAGTCAACCTTGAGCCGGTGAGATTAGAACCGCTGAACTGCAGATAANATTAAATGGACATCAGTACTTAAGTTACACCAGTGAATGGGAGAAAATGCAAGTCTTTATACAGAATATAGGAGGACATTATGTACAAATACAGTATTAAAATGCATGGGCAAATAATGGAGAATTGATGTCGTGTGTGTGTGTGTGTGTGTGTGTGTGTCCGTGTCCATGTGTGTATCAAACCCATGTCAAGCTGCTGTTGTAGAACATTCAACCATGTGAGAAATTTGCATGGAGTAAACGTAATACATCCAAGAAAAGCTCCCTAAACCAGTTCTAGATATAGCACCGGGAAACAGTTCCTCTTTAGAAACTGTATTCAAGTTTGAAGCATGAAAAAGCTATGAGCCTTTAAAGAGAGAGCGTGGACTGGAGAAATATGCTATTAACTTTGTAAAGGCCACAGTTGAAGAGGGGAGACAGTTCTTATATGGAGAACAGACTGATGCTGGCTATTTGAGAGAGGGTGATACACTTTGTTTTACAATGCAGCACTATCTACCATTAATTTTTTTAAAAAGTTGTTTAGCTAGCAAGGAGGAAACTAAAAACCCCCGTGTCACCCACTCCTTAATTATTCATTTTTGGATGCTAGAAAAAGAACCTGTCAATTTAAACAATGCTCAAGTTTAGGGGGCCTTTAGACACGTCTTACATGTGAGGAAGGATTCAAAAGGCAAAAAAAAATTGGCGCTTTTCAAACAAGGGAAATGTATCAAATACAGTACTAGTCCTCCTGTCACATGTTCCCCAACAAGAGTTCTGCTGTTTTTTTCCCTCAGTTTCTCATTCCAACCATATAGCTAAAAATTCTAAAATCTGCAGCAACTCTTGGGAACTGCCCCTATTCAAGTTTTGCTAAGGACACATGGACTTTTTTTTCCTTTTGGCAATTTAGAACCCTTTTCTACTTCATGGTCCAATGATGTACATATCCAAGGTGCAGGCTAAGCAGACAGAACCTATCCAAAGAGAATCCTGACAGAGGGTCCAAGGTAACAAAGCTAAATTAAGTCTTCTTTGTGCCTTGTTTGTACAGATAAGTGATTCTCTCTTTCTTCAGCTAACAGGACAACTGAATCTAAACAAAGGAGAGACACAGTAGCCTTCTGACTTGAAATAGCAACATTAAAAGGTATACTTATTTTTATCTCCACCCCCCCCACCCCACCCCGCCTGCACTGTCCTGGCCAATAAAAATATAAGGCATCAATCAAGAGCAAATATGCAAGGGTCCTGGAAAGTATTTCTTATACTCTATATTTATAACCATTTCATCCTTATATTCACGACACTGAGACATTGGACCACTCTCATGCCGTAGCCAGGAAAAAAAAACCAAGCAAATACAACCATCCTCTCCAATCTAACCACAAGACTCTGCCCTGAAAAAAAAAAAAAAAGTGAACCGAGGACACTGCAGCTTTTCTGAAGCTTTTGAAAATGAGTAAGAGAACTCCTAAGAGGATCTTCTCAAATAATTGTGCATTTTGTTGTTGTTGAGAAAGTCAGTTAAATTTGCTCTTAAAAAAAATAAATCTACAAGAATTATGTTTCTCCTTGCGTGTGACTGTCCCCCGGATTGTTAAAGAAAATGGAAGGGGAAAGGGGAGGTGAAGGGGTGGCGGTGGAAGTTATAGGACCAAGAACAACATATTTTATCAGAGCAAAGACAGCATGGGTGTGTACGGGTGCACGTGCGCTGGAGGGATAAGAGATGGCAAGGGAAAGGAGTAGTATCAGGGAGAAAACAGAGCAGGGGAATCCAAATAAGTAGGTAGCTATTTGCACCTATAATACAAAGTGAATAAGAGTTTGTTTTTGGAAGTTAAGTCCCCGGTCGGTCTATCTCCACTTTCCGTTGGGTGGTGGTAACAGACGTCTCGTGATGGTTTCTGAAGCGTTAGAAGTGCAGTTAAACGGAGCTCTCAGGAGAAGGGACGGCTTCCAAGTGTG